GGACCCCCCGAAGAAACTGAGCCCGGCGGCCGTGGGCCGTCGCTTGCGTCGAACCATGGAGCCCAAGACAGACGGGACCTACAAAGTTCCAACGGAGGTGCTGGAACAGTGGAAGGATAAGGAGAAGCGTCCGAAGCTCATGGCAATGTTCGAAAAGCTGGGTTACCAAGCGGACTGGTGTTTGAAAAGTGTCCTGCCGGACACCCTAAACCCTAAGCCTACAAGCCCTAGACCCCTACATCCTAAACCCTTCAAATGGCCGACCTCCAACCCAAATAAGCTATGTCATAAAGTTATTGATGTGGTTAACGTGTCCCATACTGCGAATCATGTTGAATTCTCTTCAACTCACTGTTGTCTGAGTAGCAGATAGAAGGAGCTCTTCATGAAGAAAGTGCGCCACATCTACCAGAGAGTTCATGAGCAAGTCTTCCAGACAGACTATGAGTTCATGACTGAAGCCGACATGAAAGCTGCTGGTTTTTTCGGAGTGTCTTGTATGAATGATCGCCAAACCCAATAGATCTCTTATCCCCATGGCTACCTAGGAAGAAGATTAGGAACGTAAAGCGGCACTGCGAGCGTCGGCCAGGATGGAAGAGGCAGTGCCAAACCATGTGCCGACCATGATAGCCTTGGCTCTACTGCATGTGGCCCTGACTCTTGGCGCTATAACCCCTCTTTGGCCCTATAATCCCTGTGGCAGGAAGTCTGATTATGGTGAAGGCGACCTCTATTGGGTGGCTGTGAAGATTCATGGAAGCAACAAGTCGCTGGCTGCATTTATGTCCATGATGTCCACGCTGCAGAAGGGTTTGGGGTTTAGGGCATTAAACAGGGTTTAGGGTTGAAGCCTAGATTCGCAGGGACATCAGGGCTGTGTGGCTAGATTCAGAACCCAAACTAGCTAACCCAGATCTTACAAGAGCCCCAAAACACCAAGAGCAGTCAGTGCCCCTTAACTAGATGCAAGATCCCATGAGTGACCTCTGTGCAAGATCCCTGTTCAGGGTTAGGGGGTTTAGGGTTCAACCTCCCTCCAATCATAGAAGAATTGTGGCTGCGGCCCTGACTTGTATGCCAAGATTCCGGCTAGTCCCAACCTCCTCTGCTTGCCTAGAATGTGTGTTGAGTACCTGTTTCCAGAATACCATCATCACAAGCAATTAGTAGTGCAACAAAACAGAATTGTCATGGCGGGAACCAAAGCATGGAAGCCCTAAACCCTAACCCTAAACCTTGAATCCTGAACCCTAAGCCTCAATCGCTATGAGAAGCAATGGGTTGGTTCCCTGGGTTTGCCAGCCCAATTTGAAATCTAATCATATTCTGCCGGGCCCCCGAAAAGGCACTTGAAGCGAACACTTCTCGAAGAAGAACTCTATGGCGAAGCACCAGCATCGCCAGATGATGGACCGCATGAGCTAGGCGGAGACGAGCCTGAACCGCATGGCTTTCGCTGCCAAGGTGCTAGTGCAGAGCATGGGTAGCTGCAGTTCTTGAATTGTGAGCAAAGGGTTACACTGCCTCCTAAGGTTCTGATGATGAAGCTGGGGCTGATGACAGCTCGGGGGAGGATGACGATGATGATCAGTCCCGTGACAAAATCTTGAAACAGCTCAACTTTCCGCAGCTAGAGGAAGCCCAGCAGCCCTCGTCAGTTGCTACGAAGATGAGCAAATGCATCCAGAAGCGGTTGACCAAGCTACTGGAAATCAAGGGTAAGTTTGAAGGATTGAAGGAGCCCACTGCTACCCAGTCCAGGCGGGCTTTTTTGGGGTGTGTGCGTGGAATGTTGGACCTGCTCATGCGTGTGAGTTTGGGGCCTTGTGTGTTAGGATGCTCGGGAAAATCAATGAATCGTGGACCTCCCTTTCAGCCGTTGATGAGACGATTGCCGCAATCTATGATCAGGGCATTGTTGCTGGCTTCACCAAGGAGACCCTTGGAAAGCATCTAAACATCAAAGGCCTTGGAATTTGTATTGGCAAATATGAGACCACTTCCTGACCTCTTGTCCTGAATTGCTAAACCCTAGACGCTAAAACCCCAAACCCCATTGCTTTTGGCCCAGGAACCAGAAGAAGCTCAAGAATGCGTACGAGAGCTCGCGGAAGCTGCGCCTCATTTTGGATGTGTAGATTCAGGCTGTAGGGTCCTAAGGCGTTTAGGGCTGGGGCTGGTGTAAGGGCGTCAGTGTTACTTTATTGCCAAGCTGGGTGCTGGGTCTGTAGGGTTTAGGGTTTGGGGTTGAAAACGAGGTTTGGGCGCTCCTGCTTGTATCTGACTTGCGAAGATGATGCCTTGCTCAAATTCCGCTGGTGAATCGCTGCCCGTTGCTTTTCTTTGATCATTTCTGCTAAGGTCTATTGAGGCCATTTGCTTGGGAGATCGTGCAAAGAAGCCTGGCTTAGTTAGTCTGTACTCGTAGCATGTGCGAGACTGGGTTCCTGTGCCTACATCCAGAACTTAGGAGTGTTTTGGCGATGGGGCCTGTCAAGAAGGAACCTGCGCCGCCCCAGAAAAAGAAGGATGCCAAAAAAACTGGCAAAACGGGGAAAAATGCTGCAAAGGCGGAAGGCCAGACCCCATCTTCGAAGAAGACGGTGGCTGCCAAGGCTAAGAACAAGCGCTGAGCCCTGACTTGCTCTGCTAGTGTTTTGCCCTGCTCGCATTTCCAGCCAGTTTTTGAGCCTTGAACTTTAGAAAGCCCAAAAACCTCGGGGGTCTCATGCTCCGTCACGAAAGAGTGCTCGGTTTTTCGCTGTAGCGGTCTAGGCCTATGGCTGGCTGGAGTATGGGGGCTGTAGCTGAGGTGTTGTGGTTTTAGCCACAATGACTCGTTTGGGGATCACCTCTTGGCTGATCCAATGCACCATGCATAGGGGAAGATCTGTTCGAATGTTCGGCGTCGACCAAAGTGCTTGTTTGAGCTGCAAGCTAGAAGTGTCCTTGAAGTTAGAAGAGCCTGAGATAATTCCACTTCATGTTGTTTTGGACCCCAACCTCACTGTCCATCCGAATTTTCACAAATTCCCGAGGTGTTAATGACAATCTTCAATCGTTACCAGCCCTATTGTTTGAGAACCTTATGCCACTCATGCCTCTAAACCTGTAGTTGTCAAACGAAGCCTCTCGAATAGCAAGCCCGAGAACCCTTAAACCCTAGGTCTCCCTAAGCATTCAACTCTTCTGCCAGGTGAGAGAGCCCAGCCCCAAGATGTTCATCGCCGAGCAGCGCAGTATGCGGAGATGCTCGGGGAGGGCGTGCCTCGAGAGGTTATAGGGTACAGGGTGTAGGGCATAAGGTTTTCAGGGCTTGGGGTTTAGGACTTTTAAGGCTGAGGGTTTAGGGTACCACTTTAGGGTTTATAGGGTTTATAGGGTTTATAGGGTTCATAGGTTTTATAGGGTTTAGGGCTTAGGGTCTAGGAGTTTAAGGTTTAGGCTTTGTACGGGTTTAGGGTTGCTTGGAACCCGAATTCCAAACTGTCCAACCTGAGCCAGACAATCTTAACCCTACCCTAGGCTTCCAAAAGATCAACAAGCCATGCCAAACCCTATGCTCACCGGTGCTGAAGCTTCGAACCCTCGACCCTACGCCCTCCAGCCCATGCCTGTTAATTCAAACCTCACCCTAGAAGGCCTCCAAAGTCGATGGTATGTATTCAAAGCGTCGAACTCCGGATTGATTTCTTGGTGTAGGGTTTATAGTCCCCCTTACGTGGATAGAACATGGCTTTAGGTATATTACGATAAGATCCATATATAATATGTTACCCCATATTCTATCTACTTAAGGGGGACTATAGGATTTACTGATTAGGCTCTTGAGAGGAAGTTGTTGGGATGAGACATTATTATTATATGCTGCAAGAAGAACCATAGCGAAGAGAATAAGGACCCAGCAGGTTCCAGCACAAGCTTGGGGCATAGATTGAACTTCCCAATTTTTGGCGCTTCTTCATGTAAAGAAAGATATTCGACCCTTTCCATTCTACTCTCAATTCCGCATCTTCGTGTTATGGCAATTTTTACGCCTCCCCGCCCTTTGTGGCCTGTAATGCCTTGCCCATCCTAAACCCTAAGCCCTATAACCCAAACCTGTTTTTTGGTGATCCAAGGCTTCTGCGAGCAATGCCAAACGCTGCATAGCTGACATCACTGGCAGAGCAGATGACAATGACAATGTGGACGAATCTGGAAAGCGAAAATTTGAGAAGAATGCCGAGCGGGATTCGCACCGATTTTTCTCGAAAATGGGTCTTTCAATTCCTCTTCACATTAACAAGAAAGTGTTTCATGCGGATGGCAATTCTATTGAGGCCCACTACCTCAATGTCTCGCAGTGGCTTGGGTATTTCTTGCAAAACGCACCATCTGTGCTGGCTGGTGGTCGTGACGCGCTGGAGGATCAACTACAAGCGTTCTGGAAGATGTACGAATGGGTGCATCCAGAACATCATATCTTCAGCCTGGATGCAAGTCGCCTTCGCACTACAATTCCCATCCTCATTTTTGGAGATGAAGGCAAGGGACCGAAGCGTGGGAACTATCTCATCACGACGTTTGAGACTCCCATTGGGCCTTCCCAAACCGAACCTCTGCAGTGCGGATGCTGTGATTTTGTTGCATCCAAAGCAGAGCATGTGCCGAATTGCTATGGTCCGGTGGCGCAGGCAGCTGAACTAGATGTCGCCTCGCGGCAAAGCACCACTGTGAAGGGCGGCAGTTACCTCACCCGCCACATCTTGTTTGGCCTGCCAGACTTTGTGTACAAGGACTACCCTGCTGTCTATGAGGGCCTCTTGAACCTCTTGGCTGAGGACCTCATCAAGTTGGATGCGCGAGGCCTGCGAGTCGCTGACCGGCGGTACTATATGGCGTCCTGCTCGGCCACAAAGGCGACTTGAAGCACATGGCCGAGAAGGCGGCGAAGCTGAGTCGCAGCTACGCGCAATTTAGGCTCTACTCACGAGATCGGCATTTGCCACCTTTGCATGGCTGGCACTGCGGGCTATCCCTTCGAAGATAGTGGCGACGTGCCGGCGTGGACGGAGACATTGTATCAGGCGCGCCCCTGGAGCGATGACCCACCGCTGAGCCGATCGCCGTACGATCAGGCCGCGCCGGAGATGCTATACAAGCTGGACTTGTTTCATCTCTTCAAGGTCGGCATTGGCCGTGATGTGGCAGGCTCTACCTGCCTTCTTTGTCGGCTGGGCTACTTCGACTATGAAGGCTCTCGGCGCAACCTTGCTCATCGCCTGTGCAACGCGCACAAGAGCTTCAAGCTCTGGTGCCTGGCGATGCACAAATCTCCAGGCCTTCGCTACTTCAGTCCTGCATTCTTCAACATGAAGCGACTGAGTGACTATGCTTGGAGCAACAGTCCCTGACTGAAACCCAGTTTCTTTTTTTCTTTCCGACTCAGTTTGTTGGACTTTTAGCTTGAAGTCGTAAACAAAACGCACCCTGATAAATGCAATCTTAATTTTCGGATGGTTCGATTTTTTTTTCGGTGTTTTATGGCTAGGCTTTAGTGTTTGCGTTTTTGTCTTTAGCTGTTGTTAAGCCTTTTTTGTTTAGTGCCAGGAAGCCATAAATGGTCATCAGCAATAGCTTTTAGCAGCAGATCTCAGCACAGGCAAGGGTTCCGACACCATGCTGCTTCTGGGATGGCTGCATTGGTTCGTCTCTGCCAGGTTGCAACAGGAGCCGCCTTTGCCGCAGGAGCACAAACGCCTCTTTCGACTGCTTCGGAGTACAATTCATCATGGACAGCAGATCTTCGACATCGCCTACAGTCACCCTCTTTGGCTGGCAAGAGAATGTGGGCAGTCACTGTACTTGCACCTCACGATTTTCTTGAATGGTTATCAGATGCTGGCCCGGCAGGCGCTGGATATGCACATGTCCTTCTTTGCATTAAAGCCCAATACCATGGGCTCTGGGACCTTCGCAGTGCCCTTCAGACACCATCGCCTCTGGTCCTTAACCCTGCCGTATATACATGTGACCTCAACGAAGATGCTGTGGGGAAGTTGTGCAGCCTTGCTCTGGTTGTGAGCACGAGAACCATCAACTACCGAGTTCTTCAGCGCAGCTTCTTAAAGAAGAAGGCAGTGCTTAACAGGCACCTGAAGCACCGTGCCGCTTCTGGACTTCGCAGATGATGCCCATGCATGTCTCATTGAGCCTGCTGCCTTTCCTAGGGCCACAAAGGTTCTTATATCCAAGCCTTGCCCACAGTTTAGAGTTTAAGCTTATAGCTCATGACTTGGTAGGGATTGGGCTTTAGGGTTTAGAAATTCAGGTATGGGGTCTACTTGGAGGGTCAGGGCGACTTAGTAAGTAGCCCCTTTTGTAACCCTATAAATATCCCTATAGCCTATTGTTAACCTACTTACTAAGTCACCCCAACCCTCCAAGTAGGGTTTCAAGTTTAGGGATCAGGGTTTAGGGTGTAAGACGTAGAGTTTCTTAGGGTTCTAGGGATTAGCATGTCTGGTCTGATGTTAAGGGAAGGAACCCCTAAACTCTACACACCAAGACCCGAGCCACAGTAGTTGTGCATTGTAAGGTGTGGTGAATTATTGTCTTCAGTCAACTGTTGTAATTATTGAATTTCCCTCGAAAAGAAACCCTGACTATTGACAGCTCAAAAGAAGTAGAACCCATGAATGGGAGAAGGCTCAATGGACTGCATAGGCGTAGGAGCAGAAGAGCAGCATCCGTTCGGCATCGCCGGCAGCCAAAATCATAGCGACAAGGTGTCCAGAGTTTGGACTTTGGATTGCGGTCTGGGTAGGGTTTAGGGTTTGGGGCTTGGGGTTTAGAGCTCAGAGTTAGGAAATTGGGCCCTGTAAGGTTGGGGTTTCATGTTGTTTGGGACTTCCCTGAAGTTCACTCTTTGTGTTTGTGGGGGCCAGAGACTTGAATTTCTGAGCACACAGGGTTGCTGGCGTTGCACTAGAAGCCGCTCATCCCCAGAGGAACCCCTAGGTTCTCAGCCCTTCTGGGTCCTGAACATTGAAAGCCCCAAATCCTGAAGTGCTGTCTCCTACAGGATATTTGACCCATGAGGCCCAAATCCCTGAACCCTAAACCCTAGACCCTTAAACCTAGACCCTACACCCTAAACCCTCGACCCTAAACCCTAAACCCCAAACCCAAATCGTGAACACGAAGCCTCGAGTTTTTGCTTCAAAGTCTCCAGAACCTTTAAAAAGAGTCTTCAGGGGTTATGCAGGAGGGATTGGATTTACAGGTTGCGGCGTTTCTTACTTATTGACGGCGTCTTTTAGGTACTTCCGGCGTTTACCATAGCCTACGGCGGGAATAAATGCCGCATTGGATTACGGCAGTTTTATTTGCCGGAAGTGCTTCTAGGTAGTAATACGCACCCCAAACTCGAGTGCTTTGGTTTCTGGTCAGTCTTTCCACATAAACATGTAGGCCGCTGTGCGAGCTTCCGCGCAGTACTATGGGGCTTACAGAAAGCACCGTTCTCTGTTTCTGCTGGGGCAGAGAAAGGTACTCCGATCTTTTGAGACTCTCATTTCGGATGATCTTTTCAGACTCTCATTTTGGAAGGCTCTCTTAAGTCCGAATGTCTCTTAAGTCCGAATGATGCCGGCTGTCAGGGCGCAGTTTTTGCAAGGCTTGCGCCTGGCAATGTTGGAAGTGGAGCTTGATTTGCGATAAGCTGCTCTGCTTGTGTTGTACCTGAGACCTTGCTTGGAGCTTTGGACTTGCTCGCTCTTTAGCCACTTATGAATGCAACAGCCGCACTGATGGGCATCACTTCAAGCGCGGAAAGAACGAGACCGACACACAAAAAATCATGGTGCCCCGACACGGCTTCAGGACATTGCGCGACTTCAGCACCAACGTGCACAGGGGTATCCGGCAGCTTCCCAAGTTCGTGCGCCAAAAGCGCACAGTCACAGGCCTCTGAGGGATGTATGGAGGCACGTCCGTGTTTGATAGACGCTTGCAGTCTGCTACAGCATGGATAGCTCATGATTCGGGGCCAAATTTACGAGAAGGTCCCACGGTGTCTTTCTGTTGCGCACCCAGTCTAACATCCTTGAGATCCAACAAGCACCCGCTGCAACAGAAACATTGGTTTCTGTTTAACACAAAGTGAGAGCTGTGCGTGTACGGCACATGCAAGCGTACCGACTCCGGGTCCACGGGCAGTTACACAACTGGGGCGACGAGGAGGATAGCTACCATGGTATCAAACTCGATCCTGTAATCTTCCAAACTGCAGCACCCTCGCCCCTGGCTCAGATGCTCTCAGAAACAGCATGGTCTAGCCTAGCTACTCCACAGAGAACCCTAGATAACCCATGATTCCTGAAGAGTTTTCTTGTGGCACCCACCCCCGCCTAATCCTTACACATCCGTCCCATTCCTACCATACAAACCTCCTACCCATGGCCCTGAACTCTCATTCCGGAACCCCGAACCTTAACTACCAAGCCCTGATCCCAAAATCCTCCACCCTAAACCCTCCCTCAAAGCATCCTAAACCCTTCCTAGAATCTCCTAAGCCTCCAAGGAAAGCCCCACACCCAAGCCCAAACCCTCCCAGACCATTCCTCGTCAGCTGATGGCTTGCCCGCCCTTCGGGGGCTTGAGGGTCCGGACCGGCTATTCTCGCTTTGGCTGCGCCTGGAATACTTGTTTGCTAGTAGGGCGTGAAGCAACGGAAGACAAGGGAAAGTACTAGGTTTCAGGGGTTAAGGGGTGCAACAGAGTCCTGATGATTCTGTAGCTGCTTGGAAGCTGCCCTGTTCTGTGGGATTAAATGGGCGCGGTTACGGGGGTCCATTCCAGCTGTGCCTGACTCTACGGTAGGCTCAAGTATGGGCCTTTAATCCTGCAGACCCAAGTATCTTGCAATCACTATCCAGAATTCCCTAAGACGCTAAGGGCCCATGTTAGGATCCCATACTTCTAACCTCGAAAGCCTTAGATTGATTTCCCCCAGCCCAGGGAGGATCCAAGGGCTTGGTGTTCAGGGTGCAAGGTAGCAACGCCCAATCTGGCAATCTGCCACACTACGCTACCACGTTGTGCAATTTTTAGGGTACCTGCACAGCTGTCAGAGGCTTAGCGGCTTAACCTATTTTGTGTCCGGAGTGAGGAGCTTTGAGTTAAGGGTTTGGGTTTATGAGTTTTCTGGGTGTTTGGGGTCACGGGTTTGAAGGATTATGACGCCTAGGTTTAGGGGCTTGGTGGCTTAGAGTTTCAGCGTTTCAGGTCTACTGCCGTCGGTGGTTCACGGCTGATGAGCTTTAGGAATTCACTGTACGTGATTTAGGGTTTTGTGTGATTCAGGAGTCTAAGGTTCTGGGGTTTGGAAATTAAGAAGTCTCCGGCAGATTCTGATGCACATGGTTCGTTCCTAATTATGACTGATGCAAAACTTGCATGTCGTGGAAAAGCTATGTATTGCAATTCCTTCAAAAGGTTACGGCTTTTTGAAATATGATGCGCATGTAAAGAAATCTTTTTCAGGTCTTTTCATTCCATGATTCCAGAATGTCTCTAGATGAGTACCTATCCTCACAAGATATGTTGGCCTTCAGGAATTGGAGTTCTGAAGCTAGGATGGGGTTAAGAAGGGGGTTAGGGCGTGGCTTCTCATTCCTACACTTTGGAATGTAGGGTTGGTCGAGGGTTTCGTGCTCCTAAGATCTTGGCGCACAACCTGTGTGTTTGTGTCTCAAAGCTGCCCATCATAGAATGCGTTAACAGGGCCATCCCCATGTTGATCTCAACATATCTCTAGTATCCCTTGGGTACCTGCTGGTTGAGAAACTCAATCAAGGGCTGAAACCTTAGTCCCAAACCCCATCACGCAACCACCAGACCCTAAACTTTCATTTCCAAACCGAACTCCTTAAGCCCTATACCTGAAGCCTGAAGCCTTCATAACCCTCGGCCTCATTCCTCGGCGCTGAGCTGAGAATTCGAAGTCCAGATAATCCTAAGCGTGCACCCAATATTTCTGAGGAACTGCTAAAAATCATCTTCAATGTATAGTTCATGTGTGCATGAAACATGTCAGGTGCTATTGAACAACCGCCCAATCATCCATGCTGAGCGGGGAATTGATCCCCGTAGTCATCCCTTGTAATGTAAGAAACCTCATGTAACCACTGCCGGTGGTGCAAACAAATCTGTACGAACGGCAGTCCCCCATCATGTCCTCAGCGGTCCCTCCTTCCCGCCACCGAACTACGCATGAGTAAGTAGGGGAAGTTCCTCAAGGGCAGGGGCGCCCTAAGTCCCTTCCAGAAGAGTCGTAATATATGATCTAGGCTTGGGGATTCTATTGGGGTCTAGAGTTTCCCAAAATTGGGGTGCCCTCAGGGACTAGTAAGACAGTGAAATGACAGTACACAGCGGTACAGGGAATATTGTGAAATACACATATTTGGAGTAGTGGAGTTTAGGATTCAGTGCAACCTTTGAGGATGGCAGGGCTCAGAAATCTGCGCCCAAGATGCGGACGCAGTTTTCAAATTCAGGTGTCATGTGGTATATAGGGTTACTATCTAAACTGATAATTGTATTTCACTCATTGGGGTAAAAGTTTTAGCTTCGCACCATTTACCGGGCTCTTGCAAGAGTTCACAACGATTTTTCATTACCACTTATCACTCACAACTTTTGCGTTCCTTGTTGGATTTACAAGGATAACTATTTCCAACAATGACCCGCCAAAGGCTCCAGCCCCAAGATCGCATGACATGGAGTCATAGACCACGTAAATTCCGGTCTAAGTTTAGCCGCACATGGAACCCATTTCAAAAACACACACATACAACACACACACACACAGTTCAAACCCTAAGACTTCAGAAAAACGCCCGGAAAAAGTATTTGGGGTGGACGTAAACTATATACCCGCCAGGATTCTGCTGATCGAGAGCGCAGCGCGCTATTGGAGATTCCTGCTGGGGCGGGCTGTACATTTGGAGTTTCTCATGTTTATATTCTAAGTTTAACTGCATGCCTAATATAATCCCATTTTAATATATTCCTTTATT